TTGTCATCGACGGCAACGATCATCACATTCACATGCTTCTCGGCTGTTTGAGAAAACCCAGAGCCTGGGTTTGCAGACGTAAAAGAAAAGGAAAGGAAAAGGAGAGAAAATGAAAAAGGAAGAAGAAATCTGACGTGGGTGAAAAAAAAAAAGAACTATTATTTTTAAATTAAATAAAAATGCCAACTCATAAAAAAATGCCAACTATGTTTTTTTTTTCCATGTCATTAGTTAAGAAAAAAAAAGAATTGATTTGCTGGCATTTTAACGTGCCACCTGTCATTTAACTGACGGAAGGACGGTTTTGGTACCTAAAATGAAAGTTTAAGGATAATTTTGGTACTTTTTAAAGGTGAGGGACAATTTTGGTACCAAAGTGACAAGTTGAGGGACCAAAATGGTACTTAAACCAATTAAAAAGCAACAAACAAAATTTTTAGTTCTCTGCTGGAGGAGGTGGCTCCACTGGCTCCTCTTCAGTTGGAAGAGGTGGCTGTCTTGGCTGCTGCTCGTCTGGCAGAGGAGGCTCCTCATCGTCAGAAGGAACTGGGTGAATCTCCACTTCTGGAATTGGTTGACTATCACCCACTCCAGTTCCTTCCACTCCTGCCTCCACTCCTGCCTCCACTCCGTCTCCCTCTACCTCTGCTCCTTCTTCCTCCACTGCAACGAACTCAAAGTCGAATTGTGGAGGAAAGACAGCAAGACCGTCTGCATCATCCTCCCACCTCAGTTTGATCTGAGGACGGAAGTCTGCTGACATGCTCTCACCATCCTCCTCCACTCCTTCTTCTTGCTCGCTGAAGGTGACCTTTGTCACATCCACTTCGGGATATGCAGCCTTCACCTTCTCTCTGCAGTCTGTGAAAGCGATGATGGCAGTGGGTAGCCGGTACAGGTTGACGATGCTGTCAAACGAGCTGGAACTGATGAAGTTGCTGATGTGCTCCTTCATCCCATTATGCACCAACTTCTGCATGTTCCCCTTCAGCTCCTTGAACGCCTCTGTCACCAGCTTCGTTTCTTGTGCCTGAGCCTCACGCTCGCCTTCAGCGATCCTTCGCTTGCTCTCCTCAAAAGCGAGCTTGGTGCTCAGGGAAGACCTCTCCTGTTCCAACTGCTTCACAGTTGGAACCACCTCGTCCAGAGACTTTTGCAGCTCTTTATTTTTCTTCTCCAGCACCTCCTTCTCTTTCTGCAGCTGGTCATACTGCCTCTGCAAGAGTGAGCTCTCCTTCAGGCTTTCCCTGAATTCCTGGGCTAGACCGTTCACCCAGCTCGCGCTTTGCAAATCAAAACCGAGGTTAAGAGAGAAAGAAGAGAAGAGGACACAAGTTAACTACACAACATTAATAATTTAAACATACCTCCAGAACGTGCCTCATCACGGACGCTCCACCATACCTCAGAGCCTCCTCCCGCGCCTTCCTCTGGTCCACTTCGGGGAAGGTGTTGTTGATGAACGACCTCGCCCCCGTTATGTTCTTTGCCTCGAACAGGCTGCTCTGAGGCCCCAGTGGGGGAATAGGACCCTTTCCCTTTCCAGGAGCTCGTACCTCAGCCCCCTCCTCCAACTGTCTGAGCTTAGGGTTCAGCTCAACAGGAGGAGGCTGAGGTACGAACTCAGGAACCTCATCCTCCCTTCCCTCCTCCACCATCTTCTGTTTCTTCTCTGCTGCCCTCCTTTCCTCCCAACCCTTCCTCTTTAACGGTGGCACCTCGTCCTCCGTCTCAGCTGAAGCTAGAGGCACCACCTCCTTCCCAACCCTCCCCTCATCCACTTGTTTGGCTGAAGTCTTTGACTTCTTCCTTGGCTTCTTGGGGATGGCCTTCCCTCCAGCAGTGTTCAAAAATTGATCCATGTCAGCTGCAAAGCAAGAAACACAATGTTAGTCACAAATCTATGTTCTACATTTAACGCTACAGTGTATGACAAACAAACCTTCACTCAGAGCGCTTGGCCCATAGAGCTCAGCAGCCTCTATGCATGCTGCGCTGGTGAGGTCCATGATATTCAACACATCCCCCCTCTTCCTCACCAACCTCCCCACTTCTTCCTCCTCATCCTCATTTAAACTAAACTTATTCTGGTTGGCCCTTTTGGCCTTCTAGGAGGCTAACGCCCTCACCTCGGCATCCCCTTTCCCCCATTCCGTGTCATCCACAAAAAAGAATTTTTCCTTCCATCCCTTAATGGATGAAGGACCTGCCGTGAATAAAATTCTACCCTCCTTATTAGCTACCCTCGGGGTGAAATAATACCACCCTTTATCTCTCCTGCTACCCCCCTTTAAAACAAAAAAATACTTAAACATATTTACAGTTGGCACGCTAATCCCCTAAGCTCGGCAATAAACTAAAAAACCTATTATTACCCTCATTGCGTTGGGGACCAACTGTGTCAACCCTATGTTATAATCTAACAGTAAACCTATTAGCAACTCAGGAAGTGGAAACCTGAGTCCCGCTATCAAATAGTGGGCATACACAGGCATCCAGTGATCCCGAGGAGCAGAGCACGCCCTCTCCTCTACCCCAGCTGGCCTAACTAATACCCGAGAAGAGATCTCGTACGTTTCTACTAAGTGACACAAGTCATCCCTGGTCCTTAGTTCAGATCGGTACTGCTTCACTTCCTCCACTATGTCTGCATTCCTATCATAACCTCTCTCCCCATTACCTTCTACTTCTACTACAGTGAAGGGTATGCTATCTACCTCAACCCTTCCTCCCTCATTCCTCCCCAACTCTACCACCTCTCCTCCCCCAACTTCCACCATCTCATCTCCTCTCACCCCCTCCACCGTTTTCTCCGAACTAGACGGAGACGGACTACTCTCAGTGTCCATGCCCCCATAGTCCAGGGGCTCCACCTCACTCCCTACTATACTTTGTGTTCTTTCTGATGACATTTTCTCAAAACCACAACCCCCATCTTTGTTGCACATTCAAAATCCCTCTCGCCTCTAACCCTAACTTCCTCCAGAGGATTCTAAACCAACCACAGAAAGGGAGAAAGGAGAGAAACACTTTGATTAACTTGAAATCAGAGTTTCGTCTACAGTACCTGATTTCGGTTTCGAAAGATTTGATGTAGAGATCCCCAGTTGTTACCGTAGTTCATGAATAGAAAATGCACAATGAAGCTTCTCGTAGAAGTTTTGCAGGAAAAGAAATGCAAGTAAACTTCTTTCTGCAGAAAAAATGCCTATTTATATTTTTGGGAAAAATTAGATCTCAACGGCTAAGATTCGTTTAATCTTACGGTTCCTGTTGACACCGTTTGGAATTCGATGGACAATCCCAAACGGTACCGTTTTGGACTTGACGGTTCGTATTTAAATTTGCCCGTTTAACTGCCACAGTTATCTTTTTACGGCTGCATTTATTACACACGTCATTTCAAGGACAACTGTCACACCACGTTGTTAAATTTTCCAAACGGACCCACTTACGCCCATTTCAACACCTTTGTTTACTTTTCTCAATTTTGTCAAGTGTTTCACTTCGACTCCGGCCATAATAATGCTGCATTATATTTCACATCGACTTCGGTCACAGTGATCCTGTATCACACATTTTATTACGGCTCCGGCCACTATGACTCCGATCATTATATTTTATTATGGTTCCGGCCATTTTGACCCCCATTTTTATATTTAAGCCTAGCTTAGCACTTCTGTTTTAGTGTTTTACTTCGGCTCCGGCCACAAAGACATGTTTTACTTCGATCCTGGTTACTGTGACCACATGTCACATACTCTACCTCGGCTCCGGCCATTATGACTCCGGTCATCATCTTTTATTACGACTCCGGCCATTATGATTCCGGTCATCATATTTTATTACGGCTCCAGCCATTATGACTCCGGTCATCATCTTTTGCTATGGCTACAGCCACGTTAACCCTAGTCATTATTTTTACATGACCACAACCATGATCACTCCGGTCATATTCTATTTAATACACTCCCAATGTAACCCACTGTTATATATTTCATTATTAGCTACAGACTATATTTCTTCTTTTTACTTCCATAACATATCCTTATTCCTTTTGTTTATGCATTCCCTTCAATATCCCCAATAACATCATTCACAAGTGAATGACTTCGGGGGGGGAATAGTGTAAGGATAGGTCCAAGGTGCCAAGCCTCGAACTGCTACAGTAATTCCTTTATGACCGAAGTGAGGAATAAATCCAAAGCTTCCCGCTCAAATGGCTGCATGACAAGGACAATAAGCATGCCCGCACCTGATTCCTTACGATGAGTGGCACAACAAGTATGGTGGACGCTCGTGCATCTGGATACCTCTCAAATTCCCGGTCCCAGAAATACCGTCTGGATGGACACGTCAGGCTCCGATTATCTTGCTTGGCATGCCACGTGGGTTCCTCATTGAATCCTATAAATACCCCCCCGGGCCACGTCAAAAAGGTAATTGAAACCAACCCTAAGCTCTTTTTATCTCCGCCCTAAAGGTAGCCCCGATTATTGCTGACTTAAGCATCGGAGTGTCTACC